ATGGGGAAGAAGTGGGAGGGAGCTGTTGCATTGTGGGAAATTGCAGTCAATGTCATGAGACACAGTATATGTGAGCTGCTGTATGGAAAGTGAATTTGCTCTGTAAACTTTCACCCAAATCACAACAAATATTAAAAAAAAGGGGGGGGGGCACTATTCTAGCACTGGACCACTGCCTCACAGTCTTGCTACCAACTCCCCCCCCCCCTTTGACCTCTGAGGCCCCAGGAGAGGACTTGGGGAGAGGCATCCCGCCACCCAGCACCAGGGACCTTGTAAATCTTCTCTGGACAGAAACGCCGAGGCACCCCCAGGAGCTTGTCAGAAATGGAGAAGCTCACCCCACACCTGCCTGCTGACTTGGCATCCACCTGTTCACCTGGCCCCCAGGTCCAGTGGGCACAGACCAGCAGAGCACAAGCAGCACGGTGCTCTGCCCAGCAGGTGTGCTCCTGGAGAGATGGGCAGTGCCCACTAGGGATAGCAGCAGGACCCGGAGTAGAGTTGAGCTGGAAATGACCCATCTGTCTATGGGTCTATGGGTCTATGGGTCTGTCTATCTGTCTATGCAGATGGGTCCATCTGCAGGTCTACCATGGCGTGGTGGTGAGCTGCCCGGAACCTCTCTCTGCAGTGACTCAGGCTGTGGCAGGGCCACGGGACTGCAGTGCACTCACCATCCTAGACCTAAAGTCCCTGCAACAGACCCCCTTTGGAGGCTGGTTCTGCCCCGTTCCTTTGTCAGGCTGCCCTGGCTGGCCTCTGACCTCCAGGCTACAACAAAGACTAGGAGGGGGCAGGGTTTGCAGAAGCCAAATTTCAGAGAAATGGAGCTGGGGGAAGGGTGGGGACACTGGAGGGAGGGGTGGCTGGGAACAGGCTGGGGGAGGGGAGTTGTAAACAATGAAACAGGTTAGTGCTGAGGCTTGGCAATCTACTTCCCCAAAATCACAGAAAGCCCTGTGGATCACGCCGGCGCAATTCCCGGCTGTGCAGTCGGGAGGATGACGCAGCTGCGTGGGGTCTCCGTGACTCGGGGTCTGGCTTCACTGCAGTGCAGTGTCCATCCATGGGGCCCAGGGTTCTGGTTATCTCATCAGTTAGCACTGTTCTACACTGGCAACATGGGGTTACCATGAGTCAGTCAGTAACAAAAAGCAAAAAAATGAAAAACCAACTGTTTTGTTATTTCATCCAGAAGCACGATGATCCAGTTCAATTATTCTGAGCTGGGAAAATCCAGTGCTTGACGGTGTTGGGAGGTGGTAACCCCTCTGTGGGAGCCCTGGTGGCATAGTGCCTAAAGCACTTGACTGCTAACCAGAAGGCTGGCGGTTCAAACCCACCAGCCACTCCTCGGAAGGAAGGTTGGGCAATCTACTTCTGTAGTGATACTGCCTCGGAAACCGAAGGAGGGGTCGCTATGAGTCGGATCCGACTCGACGGCAGCACGTTGTGTTGTGCTTTTAACGGCTCTGAGTCCTCAGTTTCTTCTCTATAAAATGCGTCCTTTTCTCCCAGGGCTGAGGATGAGACGTGTGTGTACCATGCTTAGAACAGTAGGAAGTGCTCCACAAAGGCTTACAGACACCATCAGCAAGGAGCCCGGTGATGCAACAGTGAAGCATTCAGCTGCTCCTGGAAAAGCAGTCGGTTCCAACTCACCAGTGGCTCTGGGAGAGACTGACAGCCTTGGAAACCCTGTGGGGCAGTTCCACTCTGTCCTCTAGGGGCGCTGTTGGCTCGACAGCAATGGGTTTGGTTTTGAGGCTAATAATACCCGAGCAGGCAGGCGTGAGAGAGCAGCTCAGACACAGGCAAGAGGCGGCGCTCCGGGTTTTGGCCGCGCACGCCTTCTCTTCTCCAGCGGGGTTAAATGCCTAAATGCCGGCGGCGGGAACAAAGGCCCGAAAGGACTCTCTTTGAAGCTCTTGAGGCTTCCAAGGCTCACCTGTTTGGAGAGGCCCCTGCACCACGGTCAGCAGAAGGCCTCCCGCAGGTCGGTGCAGCCGCGCTCCACCCCCACCCCCCATGCAGCCGCCCTGAGCTGGAGTCGAACATCTGGCTCTCCAGCTCCAGGGAAGCCCCGGGGGTGTGGGGATTAGCGTCTTGGGTCGGCCCCAGCGTCTCTCCCCTCGTGGGAGTCGCTTTCTGTCCTCTTGATCTCCTGGAATCCAGCTGAAATTCCAATAATGCGCCTGCTGGAGGCCTTCCCCTCGGCCTCAGGCGCTGCTTCAAGTGGGCCCCAGACAGAGAGGAAAGATGTGAGGAGGCCACCAGGGCACCGCAGAGCAGAGGGGGTGGAGAGGCAGGTGGGACAGGCCCAGGCGCTTGGAGGCCAGTCTGGCGTGAAAGGCCAAGGGATCGGAGGCGGGGCCCACGGCTGAGCCACTTGAGCCTGGTCCTGGTCGCCAGGCACTGAGCTTGCTCTGTCCCCATTGGTTGAAATCCCAAGTCTAGTTGAGGTGGAACTAGTAGCAGTTGTTACTAGCCGAGGACACCTGTGCCACCCATCTGCCTCTACCAACAACAGTGACTCAGGCCTGCCCTGATCCACCCAGGAATGGCTGTCAGGTTGCATCCAGGAAGCAGCCACCATGCACCATGTTGGGAGTCCGGGAGGCGTGGACAGACCCTAGTCCCCAACTAGCCTGCAGTATGAAGCTCCCGTCACCTACATACGCACGAAGTCGCTCATGCTTCAGTGCGCGCCTGCCTTCCACCTGCCCACTGCCCAGGCTTATGCAGGTCCCTGAGACCCGCTCCCTCCTGTCACTCAAATGTGGCCAGCTCCACCAAGCCACTGATGACCACCCAATACTGTGCTGCCCCTGTTACTATGTCATCTTATGGACCAGTCACAACACTTAGAATTCCCTACGTGCGTCCTGCCAGTCCCCCTCACCTCCGACAAAAATTTCAGATACAGCCCCTGCTGTCATGACCACCTGGCTTGCCTAAGTCTGTTGTCTGAGAACGGAGCCTGGCACATTAGTCACAGTACTAGACAAACGAGGGAGCCACAAGGCTTCTGCGTCACTGCCCAGACACAGTGGCCTAAGGACCCTGGTGCTGCAAAGGGTTTGCACTGGTCCAGGAGCCAAAAGGTTGGTGGTTTGAATGCACCCAGCAGCCCTTCAGAAGGAAGGGGCCTGGCAAACTGCCTCGGGCAAGATACAGCCCACTTGAGTGGAAACCTAAGCCGCTGTGTGAACCTTCACTCAAATCGCAATAAAACATTATTGACAGAAAAACCTGTGGAGCAGCTCTCTAACACATGGGTCCACTGTACGTTGCAAGGATAACCCCACCAGATGCAGTAACTTGGGCTCCAGGAGGGCAAGCACCGATCTGCCTGACCCCCTGGCTGGCGGTCTCCTGTGCCCGTCCCAGGGCAGAGCACCCCACTTCTGGGACCAATGGGTGGAGGTGCTCTCCCCCACACACCTCAGCCACAGACACGGACAGTTGTGAAGTGATGATCACCTGGCTCCAGAAGGAAGAGGATAGCACAGGGGGCCGCATGGGTGACCTTGGCCCATCATTCCAGCTGGGTTCAGCCAAACACACTGGGGCAGCTGAACTCGGGGGCTAAGTCCCCGATGGGGACTTCCAGGACAGTTTTGGGAAGCCTGAGTGAAGGGGCCTGGGCATGAGGGAGGAGCAGGGTTTGCACTTTAAACCGAGGCCACGCTGTTGATGCACAGCCCCGGGGTAACTGGCTAGCCCCGACTGACTGGCTTTCATGAGGAAAGCCAAACCCGTGGTCCTATTCAAGAGGCCAGGGCTTTGTCAAAGTGCAGGACAAACTACTTATCTCCTGTGAAGGAACCGACAGCTCATCTGGTACTTGGGCCTGTGCAGACATGTAAATGAACGTGGACATCGGGCACCCCTGTCTGTCCCCACACCCTGGGCCAAGCCCCAGGCACTTGCTGAGGGGTTGGTTGGCTGGCTGTCCTCTCTGAAGGGAGCAGTGATGTGTGGACTTTGAAATGTGAACTGAAGCCTAGCTGAAATGCTCGTGTTGCTCATCGGCTCAACAAAGACCAAGAGTCTGGGAGCACGTCAGTGTGGAAACAGGCCTCCCACACACAGTGAGAACAGCTCCACAAAGTCTACCCAAGTGACAACCGGGTATATCCTGACCCCACAAGCGATGGTTCCAGGTAGAATTCTCACCTTCCATGCCAGAGGAGACCCGGATCTGCTTCCTTGCCAATGCACCTTGTGCAAAGCCAAGGTGGAGGTCTAAGGGTTGCCGTGATGCTGAACAGGCTTCAGCGGAGCTTCCAGACTAAGACAAGACTAGGAAGGGAGGCCTGGTGATCTCCAAAAATCAGCCATGGAAAACCCGATGGAGCCAAACTCTACTGCCACGCACGGCGTCACCACGAATCAGAGGCTGCCTAACGGGAAATGGCTCACCGCAGCCGGGGAGACGGCAAGTCTACAAATCCAGCCACCGAGTTACACAGACGTGGTTGTTTCTCCCTTGGGGTGGGGGGCACTTTGTGAGAAAAACCATCCTTCCTCTCAGCCTTCTCACCTCACAAGACCTTGAAATTAGAGCCTCAAGAAATTGAAGTCTTTGAACCCAGGCTTTTGGTTCTTGACCTAGAGACCCTTGGAAGGCTGAGAGTTCTCTGGTTGGTTTTGGTTTTTGTTGTTAGTTGGAGGACTTTTTCCCACAACATTTTATTAAAAACAGCTGCCTGATGGGAAATGCTAAGAGGATGGACAGAGAGATGCTGACCTGCAGACATGTTCTTGCTCTTCCCACGGCCCTGAGCACCCGGCCAGATGCAGGTGGCCCACAAACACCCATTCACTGATGGCCACAGTGTTCATGAGCAGCAATGGAGACCATCCACCCACTAAGAAGATACTGGGTGCAGGACACGTGGCTGGAGCTGCCATGGTTCCCACTCAGGCCACCATCCCGTCTTCCCTGGGGCTGAAGGAGCGTCAGCCCTCCCAGGCACCCATGCAGCACCCACCTGCCCATGTGCTCCTGCAGCACCTGGTAAACGCTGATCCGGAACGTCTCATTGTTGAAGCGCTCCCGGACGTAGTCCTTGTAGATGCGGAATTCCGCTGCGGTGACGGCTTCTCCTTCTGGGATCTTGGAAAGGTCAAAACGGAACTCCCGGTGGTGGTAGCGGGGGTGGAAGAACTCCTTGTCATGTTCCACTGGGAGGAGAGAAAGCACAGAGGCATCAGAGGTGGTTCCTTTGCCCAGCTCGGAGGCCAAGGCCCCTGCCAGAGCTACACGGAGACCGGCCTGTTTCCTGTGATCCTGAAATGCCTGCCTATCCCACATGCACACACGAAAGGGTTGTGAGCTCAAGCCATGGGGTCATCGTGGACAGCATGAGCAATAGCTCTGCTTCCAACTTGCAGGGCAAGGTAGGGCGATGACCAGAGCCACCCCAGAGATCCCAGCCAGACTTAGATCCCTGGGAGCTTAGACCTGGGTTCAAATCAAGGTCAGGCACACACTGGCTGTGAAGTCTGTAAAATGCCTCCATTTCTACATGTACAAAATAGGAGATTTTCAGAAGCCCTGGCTGCTAACCACAAGGTTGACAGTTCAAAGTCACCAACTGCTGCATAGAAGATGTAGTCCATTTCTGTAAAGATTTACAGCCTTGGAAACCCTATGGGGCAGTTCTACTGTGTCTTGTAGGGTCGATATGCATCAGAATCAATGAGTGACCCTCCTGCCGTGGAATTAGTGAGGGTTCAGTGATTTAATCAGCTCCTCATCTGTTATGGCTGGATGACTGATAGCTATTAGGGGTCCCTAAGTAGTGCACAGTGCTTGGCTGTTACCAAAAGGTCAGAGGTTCAAGCCCACCTCAAGGCACCTCAGAAGAAAGGCCTAAAGATTTAATTCCAAAGAATCTGCCATTGAAAACCCAGTGACATGCAATTCTCTGAAACACATGTGTTGCTGTGGGTCAGGAAACAATTGGACCTCAACTGGTTTTGATCACTGGTGTCTATGACCTCGCTGCAGCCATCATCATGTGGCTATCAGCCCTGCTGCCATGGGAACGTTACTGATGTCCTGGCTTGATAGTGGGCTGGGAAATGTTTAATAACTGGCTTTGTGGGGCCTCATCTCTCCTGTCTGCTGATTGCCCTGGTGTAAACAATGCCATCCTGCCAGACATCAAGCTATTGAGCATGGAAGTGGGAGAGAGGCAGGGCCACAGTGGGCTCTAGCTGAACACTGTCCTGGCCCCACCCCTGACTGACTGGATCAGTATCTTTGGGGAGGAGCCCGGAAGTTTCTCGTGAGCAGCCAGGGTTGACAACAATGGCCTTCCACTAAGGGGTGAGTGGTAACATCAGGACAAAAGGAGGCAGGTCTCCTTTATCACAGCAGAGCTTAGACCAAGGAATTCTCTCCAGTTCAGATAAGATACATCGGTCTTAGCCCACAGCAGTGGGGCGTGTCTGTGTCCCAGGGAGCCTGCACCCTGAACCAGACAGAGCAGGGCTGGAGATGAGAGCCAGCGTGAGCTGCCAGGGGGCAGGTGTCCAGGCTTGGGCTGGTGTGTGGAATGTCCAGGTACCTTTCCTCTCTCCTCATCTCCTGGGAAGACAGGCCCCATTCCACTTCCTGTCTGGAGATAGGGACAGATAACGGAACCAGTTTGGCCAGGCCAGGGGAAATCTGACCAGCCTTGTTCAGTGTGATGAGCTCACAGTCTCAGGTTGAATTTGGGAGGCTGGGCAAACGTGAGCATCGAGCAAAGAGGCCTGTACCCCTCGGCAGCCCAAAGATCCTTCCCAGAGGTGCCCGTTTAAAATAATAATCATCTACTTTACACCTAAAGAAGCATTCAAAATGATAGCTGAGGACAAGCAACCAGGGAGGCTGAGAGTTAACCATGCAGCAGTTCCTGCTGGGCAGTCCCTGAAGTCAGGGGACTCTGGCTGTTGGGGGGTGGCCCTGCCTTGGGAACTATCTACACGGGCTCCAATTGGAAACAGCAACTCAAAAGGTTGGATAGGAAGCTTTGGGGGCAATGAGTTTATGTTAATGAGGAAAAGTGGGCTGAGAATGGTCACGTGTCCGGCTCTGTATATTCAACAGCTTTCCAGTGCCTCTTCTGCTGAATGTGTGGACACGTCCCCGTTAACGAGACACAGAAGTGGGTCTGTGTTCAGGAACGCTGTCAAACTGCACTCCCAGGTGATATAGCAGAGAAACGTGTGCTGAAGGGCGGTGGAGAGGGCGGGCTTGTCCTTCGTTGGCAAACCCTGCCTCCCTGTGGCCCCTCACTGTCAAACCTCCAGACACTCCTTCTCATCACTCCTTCTCATCCATCTTTACAGATTCATCCTCTTCCTGTCAGCCTCCCATGGCTAGTATCCTCCAGACTCACAGTCCTCTTCCTGGGCGAGCCCATCCACCTCCAATGTCCAGGATCTCCTCCCAGCAGAAAACTTCCATGTCTGCTGTAGCCACGAGGGACTCACACATCCCACTGCCTGGTTGACATCCCCAGTGACACATCTCAAAAAACAACTCCAAATACGTTTCCAAAGCCACCGTGAAAGTCCTCACTCAAACCTGATGCTCTTCTAACACGTCCTAGTTTCAGATGAACGGCATCGTCACCCATCTCCCTACTCAAGCCAGAGTCCCTGGGGTCTTCGGATCCTCTCTTCTTCCTCCCACATTCCACCAATCACAGCAAGCGCCATCGCTGCTGTCTCTCCGGCTCCAAGGAGTGCAGTCTGCTGGGTACTGAGTTGACATGTCGCCCCCAGGACTCGACCGACAGGAGGGAGAAGCCTGCTGTGGAGCTGTTCCCTTCCTCATTTCCGTTCAGGGGTTGCTAACGTGGAGCTCCGGGAGGCTAGCGCCCATAGTATGAGCACAGGAATTCCCAGCCAACCTCGGTTCCCCTCCTCCCAGTGCAGGGACAGATCACGTTGTTCCGAATGAAACATGCAGCAACCAATCAAAGCAGAGGATGGGTTGGGGAACCCACACACAGCAACCAATCAGAGCAGAGGATGGGTGTGGGCAGAAAAGCCAGGGATTGCTAAAGAGCATGTTTGCTGAGTGTTGACGCTGTGGCGTGTCTTGTGCTGAGTCCTCTATGGCCGTCAGCCGGTGGGACTGGTGAGGCAGGGTTTGTTCCCTTCTGTAGGCTGGAGGAGGTTAGCTAATTAGCTCAAGGTCACAGTTAGGTTAAGTGGCTATCTGTAGAGGCCACAGTCTTGACTTTGACACTCTCTGGGGCCAGGTGGTCTGAGTTCAAGCCTCAGAGGTGCCACTTCCCATCTGTGACCTTAACCTTTACTTGTGTTCCCTTCCCTCGTCTCTAAAACAAGGATGGTAATAATGGCCCATTTTCCTGGAGTCATTGGGAAGATGACAGGGGTTGCCACATACACAGGGCCTGACATATGGGAAGTAACTGACGTTTGCCATTGTTACAGGGCATCGGAAACAATACTAGTTAATGCAGAGAGAGCAATGGGTGTATGCGCATTTCCATATTTCACTTATGGTCACTTTATTTGAAAATAAACACAATTTCCAATAGGTCAAAGAAAGAAATGATTGAGCAGAGCCTTAACACAGAGATAGAGTCACTAGCTGGTGTCAACGGGTAGAGCATGGAGCTGCTGACAGAAATGCTGAAGGTCAAGTCCACTCATGTGTCTTGGACAATCTAACCCCCCAAAAAAACAAAGCCACCACCAGAGTTGATTCCGACTAATAACAACCCTTTAGGACAGAGTGGAACAGCCCCCAAAGGGTTTCCAAGGCAGTCACTCTTTAAGAAGCAGACTGCCTCATCTTTCTCCTATGGAGCAGCTGGTAGGTTCAAATCACCAACATTTTGGTTAACAGACAAGCACTTTAAACACTACACCCCCTATTTCCAGTTCTACTCTGATGCACACGGAGGTGCCACTGCTATGAGTTGGGGTCTACTCAACAGCTCCTTCAAGATTACAGCCTTTCCGGGGCAGTTCTCTCTGCTACTGGGGTGGTGGGGCTGGTATGGGTCAGAATCACTAAGTCATTAAAGTCGGCTCCAGGGAGAAAGAAACATTGACGCATCCTCACCAAACTGCAGCATTTATTGCAGCAAGTGTAGCTTTTCTTCTTAAATAAGAGAAAATGTTTACCTCCCCTGTGAAGGCAATTAAGATATCAGGGTCAAAAAGTTTCTTTTAACAAGGAACTAAGGGTTACAAGTAAATCTCCTTAATTAAATTCTTACTTCACATGGTCAGAGGCACAAACCATGATGAACCTTTTTGTTCTGTTCTTCCTGGCACCCACAGCACCTCACACTCTGAAAGTTGGTCTCAATTATCAGAGAAAGTGCCTGACGCCAACGAGCAGTGAGTGAGTCATGGTTCCCATCTACAAGGAGGCTACTTCAAGCTGGACAGTGAGAAAAGAAGATGGAAGAATTAACGCCTTTGAAGTTGGGTGTCCATGAAGAATACGGACTATACAAGGGACTCCCAGAAGAACAAACAAATCTGTCTTGGAGGAAGTACAACCAGAATGGCCCTTGGAAGTGAGGGTGGTGAGACCCTCTCCCTCGCTTTGGACATGTTACCAGGAGGGACCAGTCCCTGGAGAAGGGCATCATGCTTGCAAGAGGGTCAGTGAAAAAGAGAAAGACCTTCAAAGAGATGAGTGACAGAGTGACTGCACCAGGGGCTCACCGACAGCCACGACTGAGGATGGCACGGAAGCGGGCACGGTCTCCTTTCGTTGTACAGAGGTGCTGTGAGGTGAGACCAGCAACAACAAGCCCCCCCAGTGTGGGATCCACGCCATGTTGGTCTCCAGGACCAGGCGAGTTAATGGCCACCACTAAGTAGAGAGAAAGAAACCCTGGTGGTACAGCAGTATTAACTGAAAGCTTGGGGGTTCGGATCCACCAGCAGCTTCGTGGTCTTTTGGTGGTCCACCAGGTCTTTTCTCACAGACACAAAAGCCCTATGGGGCAGATCTCCTGTCACATGGGGTATGTATACCAAACAATAACAAATCAGATTTTAAAAACACTCACATGCACTTTTAGAGAAGACACTCCTTCACATAGTCTTCCTCAGTTACCATATTTGACTTAAAACGCAGACTTATGTTTTAAAATAAAACTTCCAGAGTCAATGGCTCTGTGTCCATAAACAAAACT